AATGAAATAAAATAAAATAAATTAACATTATCTAAAATAATGAATAATGACTATACGATAGTAATATGTACCGAATAATAAGACCTTTTAAAAGTGTAACCTTACCCTCAAAGCAGAATAATATTTTTGCTCTTCGACTAGATAATTAACTCGATTGGCCATGTCAAGAACATTTAAACATAATTGTAAAGTCTCCACTGCTTCATCAATATTTTTCTGAATTTTACGCGTTTGGATAAGTTCCTTTTTCTATAAATAATCGAATGGGTTAAAAAATTGATCTATTTTTTTTTTAAAAAAAAAATTCAAAATTAACAATAATGATTAATGATATAGCAAACCTTTGCAGCAACTTTTTTTCCAGATTTTTGAAGATCATAATTCAAATCAATGATCTTATTTTTTAAATTAACAGTTCCTTGTCTAACTTTTAACAATTGATCTACGGAATGTACGAATTCCTACATAAGATGTTAAAAAAAAAGATAAAATTTAAAAATCAACCCGTGAGCTAAACATAAAATAAATATTTGCGTAGAGGTACCCACACTGCATTTATGATTTCACACCTGATAATTACTATTACACATCCGCTCAATCTCGCCTTCTTTCTTTCTTACAAAAGTAGCTAACTGTTCAAGGAAAACTTCTTGTCGTTCTGTGTCATAAATGGATTTTATGATCGGACCGAGTTGTTCGACATTTTCGTTTTCTGATTTCAACTCGGCTGAAAGAACGAGTGAATGTAATTGTTGTTGAGCAAGATCAGACATTTTGATTTGCTTGGAAATAATGCGAAAACATTGGAGTATTTTACTCGCCGATAGAAGTAGCTTTCTTTTGATTGGTCGATTATTTGTAGTAACATTTCACAACTTTTAATACGTATTAAACTTTACTATTGCATACAGTATATATATTTCGAAAAAAATGTTTCATTGCCCTATTTTCCGACACTAATAATAATACTAAAAAAATAATTAAACTCTTTAAATAAAAATGATAACGCTTCGCTTGTATACAAAAAGTTCAAAACTCGAAAAATATTAAAAAGTTTTAATTAACCAATCACAAAAAAGTATCCAATTTTGTGGAAATTTAGAAATATTTTAATCGTAAGTTCGTAATTACAAAATCACTTGCGCTATCTTGAATAAATCAAGTTCTTTCAAGATACATTTTCCTCCGGGAACATTTGTTGACCCTTGAAATTGAATAAGTAATGTTATTCATCATTATACAGTTCGAATTTATGATGGTTCAATTCCTAATGTCTGAGTCATAATGACTCGGACACCTTTTGATCAAAATATTTCTAGTTCCGTTGATATCCCTATCTTAATTAGACCGCAAGAACTGCATTTGAAAAAATTTTGAACCAAATTTATAATTGATCAAACCACATCTTCAGCAGGTTTTTGAAATATATTCTTCAGTGCACATAATCACTTTGTAATCATCATGCTCTCTTGATTTATATATCAGAAATTGCCGAAACTTACGTGATCATGCTAAAAGCACCCTGACAAATTTTGATGTGATTTTACATCTAACGCTAAGCTTGTTTACCAATTCTTGATTTTCAAATTTCGGCAACAAAACTTGTCTGTAATTGTCACAAATATTTTGCTAATTTCCTGTGGCATTCGTGTTTTTTTGACTATTTTTTGGATGTTCTTTTTCAATTTATATCTTTTATTTTTGTTTGTACCTTTCTAGAATGTATTTTGTAGTCATCAAAATCTGATACTTCAAATTATTGTGCTTTGCAAAAAAGATGTGGCCTCTGCAGATCACAATGCCGCGTGAGAATCGGAGATTCTATAGATTTTAAGAATTTTACTGATATCGAAGAAATATAAATGTAATCGCTCGAAAATATAAAGTAATAGATAATCTAAAATCTCAGAAATTTTCTCCGTTCATTATCACAAAAATCATGTGGCCACATCTTTTTGCAAATCGCTATAAATTATAATTATTTTTGTCTTTAAATTTTCAACCAGATTTTCTATATGGTATATTAAAATCTTCATTTTTGAGACTTGTTTTTTTTTTAGCTAAACTCTGATTGCTTTAAATTATTGTACCATTTGGATCATAACATGCGATAAATGTTCTTGTTCCCAGATCCAAAGATACAATATGCTATTATCAGATCTCCTTTGTTCTAAATTAATAGATATACAGTACATACAAAAGACCTAATTTATTATATGGTTTGTATATCATGTTTATTTCAGGTAATTTGTTGTAATTATATGTTCCAAAAGGCAATTTGCTATTCTTTCTATTTCAATTTCTTGCTTGAATTGGAATACTTTGGTCAAATTGTTTTTTTTTAAACTTACTGTAAATTTTTTTTAAGCTTGAATCTTGTTATTCTGTTTGCAAAAGTTGCTTTATAACCTTTATTAATTGTTGCATAAATATCATTTCTAATATTAGATAACTCTGTGTGCGCATAATTTGAAATATTTATCTATTTTTCTTTAGTTAGGTTTGAATACATCTTTAAATCCAAATATCTGTTATACACGTATCTCCAGTTAACAGTGTTAATCCAATCCAGCAATATTTTTTTTTTTTTAAATTTAGATATATCATAAAAATTTCGGGCTTCAAACTTAATTCTATTATCGAATATTTTACTGTCCAAAATGATTTTTCATGAGTTTTTTATTTTTTTAATATTGAAAACTATAAACTTGATAGATTTTCAAATTTATATATTTTTCTATTGCATGTTTCTTGAACATTAAAAGAATTTGTACAGAAAAGCTATAAATTTTGATAGGTTCTTAGCAATATCATTCCAAAAAGGTTTTATGACCTGTTTATCTTCAACAACTCTTTTTGAATTATCAAATCATAGATATATATAAATATATATTTAAAATGTTAACATGTTATATAGAATAATATCTTTATTTATACATTTTTATACATTTTTAAATATTTATTATTATTAACATAATATATTATACTTACCATTGTCATTAAAACAAAGTTTTACGTAAAATAGTCAGTACTATTATTTTCCTTATTCAGTAATATTATAAACTCTATGTGCCATGATTAACACCTTGTAATAATGATTTAAAATTGAAGACAAAATTAACTTCGC